GTTGGTCAAGGCCTTGTCACGGCCGCTGAACACCAGACGGACTGTGAGGCCTCGAGCTCGAGCCGCCTCCAGGTAGTTCACCACGCCCGGCTGGTCGAAGGCGAAGCACGCCACATACACATAGCTCTCGGCCTCGCCGCAAGCCCGCGCCCAAGCCGCCAGCGTCTCCGACGCCGAGAGAAACTCGGTCACGGCTCCGCGCCTGGAGGTCGCCCCCAGCTGCGCCTTCAGCTGCTGGACCTCCTCGCGCAGGCGCACGACCTCGGCCTCCGAGTCGCGGAGCTCCCGCACGGCCCCCGCGAGGCCAAGGGGGTCGCTCGGCGCCAGGGCCGCGCGTCGCTGAGGCCCAGCGGCAGCTCCCTCCTTGCGGCCAGCCGCGAGCGCCAGCTCCACCAGCTCGCTGAAGTTGCCGTCCACCGCGCAGCACCAGGCCGCCCCGATGTGCTTGCAGGGGCTGCCGACGCCGCCGACGAAGTCGGCACAGGTGCACGACGCGGGGAGCAACGCTGCGGCCGAGCGTCCAGCGCGAAGCCGCACATCATACCGCACGCCGCGGCTGCCGGCCACCTCTACCTCGAACTCGCACAGGTCGCCCGCGTCCTTCACTGCTGAGCTGCGCGCAGCCTCCACCAGCTTTGCGGACACCACCGCACCGCAAGCGGCCAGGTCGCGCGCGCGCGCGGCGCGCTGGCGGTCCGAGTGCTCCAGGTCCCGCAGCGCCACCGCCGCGCTCCGCTGGATCTGGAGGACCTCCGCTCGGGGGCGTGCCGCCGCTCCGAGCAGGGGCGTCTCGAACTCCGCCTCGCGCCACAGCGCCACCACAGGGCTGGCGGCGCCATCTGCTGATGAGAGGGCCCCGCCCGGGCTCCTCCCAGCGGCTGCCGCCCTGGCCATCGGCTCGCGGCCGAAGGCGGGCCCGTCGCCGGCCTCGCAGGCTCGCGCGCTGGACGTGAGTCCGCGCTGAGCCGCCTCGCCGGCGGTGGCGGCCCGCTCCAGCGCCGCCCGCTGCGAACGGCAAGCCACCCACGAGCGCAGGCAGTAGAGAGCGTAGCAGCACTGCACGACGACCAGGACGCGCACCACCAGGACCGCACCCTCGCACACCTCGTGGATGAGGCCGCTGAGGTTCCAGGAGACGCTCTGGACCAGGTCGCCGGCCGCCTCGAAGATGTCCTGCGTCAGCTGCACGCCCGCGCGCAGCCCTTCATCCATCAAGGATGCCGTGCGCACCGCGGCAGCCACCACCAGCATGCGGAGGCCGTTCGCCAAGGCAACCCCGCCGCCGTCCATGGCCGCCGCTCCCGTGGCCGACTGCGCCACGCACAGCCCCACGAGCACGCCCTTGGCGTGGTCGTAGCTCTGGCTGGCCTTGCGAGTCCCCGCGAACCCGGCTGCTGCCAGCGAGTCGCCCAGCGGGCGAGAGGCAGCCGGGGGGGGGGATGCCGCTGCCAGCATCTCCTCGTGCTCTCGGTCGGTGTAGGCGCGACCGTTCAGCCACTGCCCCGTCCTGACCCAGAAGTCGTCGATGTAGTTCTTCCAAACCGAACCGTAGCGTCCGCGGCCGGTGCCGGTGAACAGCTCGTCGGTGCAGAACTGGAAGTCGAAGGGCCCCGTCGCTGGCCCCAGCTGCAGCACCTCGGGGAGGTAGCAGCCGCAGCCCGCCAGCACAGCCAGGACCTCCTTCGCGTGCTCAGTGTTGACCAGGAGGTTGAAGCCGCGAGCGCCGTCCATGCCGGAGATGAAGGCGCAGCCCACCAGCTCGCCCTTGACGTCTCGGCACCGGCGGATGTAGTACACGAACATCACCATCCTGCGGTTGACCATGCGGTAGTCCACGACGGTCCGACGCCTCCGGCCGCTCGCGTGCTCCTTGGTCGGAAAGGCCCAGCTGCCCCAGGGCGAGGTCCCCCTGGAGTACAGTCCTTGTTCCACGCCCGCCTCGAGCTCCTCGCGGACGATGGAAGCCTCGGGGCCCTTCAGGCGGATCGGCGGCCCACGCACAGGCAAGCCGGTCGTCGCCACGTCGTGCTTGAAGCCGCGCATGACCGTTCGCGCGGTGCCCTTCACCCAGAACGCCTCGGCCTTCAGGCTGATCATCTCCTTCAGCGCCTCCAGCTCCTGGCTGCCCAGGTGCTTGTAGCCCGCGCACTCGCCGACGAGCCCGACCGCCTCCAGAACCTTGGCCTTGTACTCCGCAGAGCGCCTCGGCGAAACCTTCACCTCGGCAAACCTGAAGCATTTGCCGGGCATCCGCACCTGGTCCCAGTCACCCTTCTTGGCCAGCTCGGCCCACTTCTTCTTCGCCGCCGCCGCCGCCGGCTCCCGCCGTGCCTTCTTTTCCGCCATCTCGGCGTCGCTCAGCTTGTCCACCGACCTCGTCACCCCAGCAGCCGGAGCGGCCGCGCGTCCCGGCTCGCAGGGCATGCGGGGCCCCTCCAGCGCCCGCGCGGCCCCGATCATGGAGCTCCCGGCGACGCTGCCCAGCTCCGCGGAGGCGACCTCGACGCCTTCGAGGCCGCGCCCTAGCGGCCGCAGCGCTCCACGGCGGCGCTGGACGTCCAGCAAGTCCAGCGGGAAGTTGCCCACGATGACGTACGGCTTCTGCATGGCCAGGGGCTCCTCATCCGGGCTCCTGCAGTGGAACATGCAGCCGTCGGGGAGCACGTAACGCCAGCGCCCGCGCGGCGCCTCGGCTGACCCGAACCGTTGCTGCCACTCCACGCTCGCCACCAGCGCGTGCGCTCGCGGGCCCTCGAAGGAGGCCAGGCAGCCCGCGCCGTCGAAGTGCTCGAGGCCGTCCATGGTGAAGGAGGCTAGCGCGTGCGCGTTGGCGTCGGGCTGGTGGCCCCCGAGGCTGCTCCACTTAGCACAAGGGAGCGCCCAGTGGGCTCCTGCCGGCCTCAGCACCTCGAAGAGCAGGTAGCGCAGCCGGGCACGGTCCTTAGCCCTGCTGAGGTCCCAGTACTGCCCGTACGTCCTGCGCTTGAGGTCGATGCCGGCCACCACGCTGCACACCGCGTTGGCCGCGCCTAAGCTCCGGACCGCCTGCGAGAGCCTCCCGACCCCGTCGAAGATCTCCACGAAGAGGGGAGCGCCGTGCGCCCACGCCTGGACCTCGCCGATCTTCAGGTCGAGCTCCTCGAGCGGGCGGCAAGCTGCGACGAGCGCGATGACGCGGCTCGAGGGGAGGTCGGAGAGCCGTGGCGCGGCCGGCGTTACTGCCGCCGCCGCCAAGGCGCCGTGACGCACGGTCCCCTCGTCCAGCCGCCAGCCGGCCCGCGCCAGCCTGCTCGCTGCCGAGTGGTTCAGCACGCCCTTGTTGAGCTCCACGACACCCAGCACCCGCTTCGCCTCCAGTGTCTCGACTCTCTGCCGCTGGAAGTCCGCGCCCTCCTGGCGGTCGTACGCCGCTGTCCAGACCACCTGCAGCCGTCCGTCGACCGCCGCCTGGTACACGTGCACCGTCACGCTGCTCAGGTCCTCGGCCAGGCTCAGCACCTTGCCCACCCTGCAGCGCTTCGCCTCCTCGCCCTGGTAGGCGACAAGCCGCCCGACCTTCACCTCTCGCATCCGCGCCTTCACGCGCGGCGCCAGCGCCTCGGCGGCCTCGCCGCCTCCAGGGGCCAGCCGCGCTGCCAGAAGCTGTCCGGCAGAGGCCCTGCCACGGCCGTCGTCCTCCTCCAACTTCACGATGCGCTCCGTGTCGTCAACCAAGCCCGGGACGCCGACCAAGAAATCCCCGTGGACGTCCTTGAGCACCTGCTGGGTCTCGGGGTCCCGCAACGTGGCCACGTTGCCCTTCGTGGAGAGGACCTCGAAGGGGCCACGCAGAGGCCGGCGGCCTGGAGCGTGCCCGGCCACGGCCTTGGAGAGCTTCGGGTCCTTGAACAAAACCATGTCCCCGACCTCCGGGCGTCTCGACGATCTCGCGCGATTGGCCAGCTCCGCCCTGCGTCGGCCGGCTCGAGCCCGATGCTGAAGATAAACCTCCCGCAAACGCCTGAACTGCTCGAACTGCGCTGCCGCGACGTCGGAGACCGCCTCACGAACGGCGGGCTCCAGCGGCAGCAGCTCCCTCTCCAGCGGCGAAGCCAACGACCAACCCATGCAGAGGTCCCTCGGCGACAGCGCCGACTTGCCGGGCGAGTTCCACAACACGAACTCGACGATCGGCAGCAGCTCGGCCCACTGGCCGGGGGCACACTTAAAAACGTCGTGCAGGAAAATGCCGATCTCCCTCGCACACTCGATGTGGGACCGCTCCGCGTCCGCCTGCTCACAGGGCCTCCACGACGTGCCGAAGCGGCCCGCGAAGTTGAGGAGCGCCCAGAGCTCTTCCATGAGAGCGTTGCAGAACTCCTTGCCCCGATCCGAGCTCACAAGCATCGGCCAGGTCTTGGCCCGAGTCGCGCATCGAAAGAAGGCACGCCGGACCTCGGAGTGCTGCAGGTGCTTGAGCGGCTCGAGCAGGGGCGCTCCCGTCGTCACGCAGATGTAGGTCAGCACGTACGCGTACCCGTCGACGTCGGGGGGGGCGATGCGGCCCTCCACGTCGATGACCACATGATGAAAAGGAAGCCGGTGCCGTGCCACGATGAAGCTGGCCTGCACCTTCGTAGTTTGCTTCCTGAATCGGAGGCAGGCCCAGCAGCTAGCACACCACTTCTCGATGTCCGCCGCGAGCCCCGGCCAAACCACCAGCCGCCGGGCGCACTCACGAGTGGCGACCACCGTCTTGTGGCCCCCCGACGGGCCAGCGTGAACGTGGAGGAAGATGAAACGCCTCCACGATATACCCGAGCCCGGTCCGCCAGACGCAGGGAGAACTAGCAGCCAGCGCTGCTCCCCTGGGCCCACCGTCACGAACTGCTCGAGCGCGAAGTCCTCCCCGAGGCGCTGCGCCTCGGGGGTGTCGCCGGCGCCAGGCTCGGCGCGGAGCTGCATGCAGGTGGCCCCGCACTCCTCGTCCTTCCACTGGTCCCCGATGATGTGGGCACGGAGCGACTTGGACAGCTCGAACGGCTCGCTCCCCGCCTCAGGCTCACAGCCCCGCACCTTCGCGGCGTACTCCTCCCTGATGGCGATGTCGGCGTCCTCCAGCTTGCGCCCGTCCGCCACCTCCGCGTCGAAGGCTGCAGTGCCGCGCTCCGGGGCACATGCCACGCGCCCGACGGAGCACACCTGCTCAGACGTCGGCGCCCGCATGCCGGTGATCGCCCCGAGGACGTCCGGCACCTCGAAGGCCTCCCGCTCGCCGCGCGCGAAGTCGGAGTCCGCGAACTCGACGAAGGCTCCTGATGCCCGCCCGCCGAAGCGATCGCGGAGGGCCCGGTACCACGATAACCCCAGGGCTTCCGCGAAGACCTCGGAGTAGGCGGAGGAGTAGGAGGACACCTTGACGACCGCACCGTTGCAGATGGCCGACCCCCTGCAGTGCCGATGCACGTGAGTAGCGCCCAGCGCGGGGAGGCGCGCACCGCCCTCCCACAGCAGCCAGGCGCAGGCGAAGAGCTGGACCAGCTCGGCGCCCTTCGGCAAGCCCGCCTGCAGCAGCTCCACGTCGATCTCCGTGACGAGCTCCAGCCCGAACTCCACGCACGGCTGCGCCAGCGCCACCTCCACGCCCGGCTCGGGCCCCTGCGGCACGACAAAGCACGACAGCCGATAGGAAAAACCCCGCGCGGCCTCCAAGGCCACGACGCCCGCAGCCGGCGCTCGGCGGACCCGGATGCAGTTGCACGTGAAATCCGCCCGGCCGCCGCCAAACTCCAGGAGGTCCCGCACGAGCTCCGCCGACACGGCGATGCAGGGGCCAGGCCCGACGGCGACTGCCGGCTGCGGGCGGACCGCGCGCATGCGCGCCGCCGAGGCCGCCACGTCGACCACGTCGGGCTCCCCGAACGCCTCCTCCGGCGCCTCAGCCAGCCGCGCCTCCTCCTCGAGCTCGCGGTCGGCCCTGATGCACTGGCCGCACCGCGCCAGCACCAGCGAACTCCGCCCGCACGCGCAGCGCCCCCCGCTGAACTCCAGCATCCGCGGGGGGGCAGAGACCACCTCCTGCATGAGGACCTCGCCCAGCGTGGCCGACACCTTCACGCCCAGCGCCTCGCCGAGGTCCTGCCCGAAACGGCGGTGCGCCCCGGCGCCCTCCACCAAATAGAGGGGGGCCGGGCGCTCGTCGCCGTGGGCAGCCGCTCCGAACTCCGGAAACGCCTCTCGCACAAAGCCGATCCTGCTCGGGCTGTGGGCGCGCGGCCCGATCGCCACGAACGCCCTGACGTTCACCCACGCCTCCGCGACCTGCATGCCCTCCGCCTCTCTCGCGTACCGCAGCGCGAGAGCGGCCTCCACCACTCTGGGGTGGGCCGCTGCAGCCGCCACCAGCCCGCCGTGGCCCGTCCCGATCACGACCTTGGGCCACCGCGCGGCACACTCTCGCAAGACGGCGGCCACCGCGGTCAGCACGTCATTGCGAAGCTGCTTCCGCGCCTTACCACTCGCATCACCTGGGAAGCGAGGAGGCGCGATGTAGTACAGGCCGCCGGCACCGTCTGCCAGCGGAGGGTCGTGCGGGATCATGCGCAGCCGCAGGCCTGGCGCCGCCAGCTGCAGCTGACGAGCTGCTCGCGCCTGCTCTGCGCTCCGCCGCCTCTCGCACCCGTAGTCCGGCAGGTACAGCGCGATGGAGTCGCCCTTCTCGCGCTCCGCCCCGGCCACGGCCACCAGCTGCAAGGCGGCCGCGTCGGGGGTCTCGTCCAGGCCCCACGGGACCCCCTCCCCCGGACGGTAGTCATCACCGATGATGTCCTCGATCGTGATGTTCGCCAGGGAGTGAGCCTGCTCGCGCAGGAACTTGCCGTGGGCCTCGTTCTCTCGGGAGGGGCCATCACCAAGGGCCGCGCTCCGCCCCGAGAGATTCATCAGCCTGCTGCCGTCGCTCTCGATCTCGCCAACCCAGCGGATGACGGTGGAGTCCGTCTCGGCCTCACCCGTAGCGTCCTTCACCGCTGCCGCGTGGTCCGTCCAGCACAGGGTGGGCAGCCGACCGAAATCCTTACGTGCCTCCCGCCTGGTCTCCCGCTGCGCATACAGCTCACCCCTGCGGGGGTGCCAGTTGCTCTGCGCCAAGCTGAGGCAGCCGCCGTACATCGCCAGCACGTTGAGCGTGCGGCGGTCGGCGGCCAGCTGATACACGCTGCCGCCCCAACCGTAGGGGCAAAAATCCGCGACCTGCTCGAGCGGGCGGTCCTTCGAGATCGCCCCGACCATGTCGATCACCGCGAGGCGGATGGCCTCGCACGCGAGCTGCTGGATGGCGCGCTGGGCCGCAACCTTCTCGGAGGTCATCGGCCACTCGGCGTCCTTCTTGAGCTGCTGCGTGAGGATCCCCAGCGGCTTCTGCACCTCCTTGGGGAAGTGGCCGCGGATCCAGTTGAACGTGCCAAGGAACCTCCGCAGCGCCGCCACGTCCTCGAGCACCGACCAGTTCTTGATGAGCTCCAGATGCCGCTCGCACGCCTCGCTCCCCTCGCGGCCCACGATCTCGCCGAGCGCCTCGATGGAGGGCTGAGCCAGCCTGTCGAGGGACTTCTCGGCACCCATGGAGTACCCGGCCGCGATGCACACGTCCAGCAGGCCTTCGACCGCCAAGAGATGCTCGAGGAGGGTCGTGGCCGCCTTCGGGTACTTCCGCTGCCAGTAGACCAGCCGCTCGGCGTAGTACTCGTCCGTCGGCACCTCCAGCTCAACGATGTCCCGAAGCTCGTCCCAATCCTGCCACACGTGCGCCACCGACGGGTCGTCGCCGGCCGGCTCGCCATCGGTCTGAATCACGGCGCCCACGATGTCGCCGACCTCGATGCTGACGCCGGGCTGGTCCCAGTTGCCGACCAGGACGAGCTGCTCCCGGCCAAGCCAAGGGCCGGGGGCGGCCCAGACGGCCGCCGCGCCATTCGCCACCACGTCGCCGACGACACCCGCTGCGAGGCCGCTAGCGCGAGCTGGCACCAGCGCGCAGTCGCCGAGCTCCAGCCGCACGCCCTCCTCGCCGCTCAGGTAGATGGGGACGGCGGACTCCGAGTCGTCGAGCACGATCACGCCTGCGTCGCCGCCGCCGAACTCCGCGGGGCACTGGCCGCCGACCATGCAGATGGGGTAGCTCGGGCAAGCCGCGCCGGACCACACCAGGGATCCTACAGCACTGGAAGCCCGACGATCCTCACCTCGACGCCTATCGGCATCGCACTCTGAGAACACCGCCGAGATGGTCAACAGCTTCGCTTGCACCGCGTCGGCCTCTGCACGCTTGACCGTGATGCCCAGCCCCAGTAGGTAGTGGCCCTGAAGCGTAGGCCGGTGCCCGATCCCCAGAGGGGGTGCATCGAGCGCTGGGGCCCCAAGAATGATAAGAAACGGCCTGTCCCAACCCCCGCGCAGAAGCCGAAGGCGAAACACGCGCACCACTCGCGTGCCGTCCAGCCCCTCGAAGGCCAGGCGCAGGTCCACCATGCCACGGATCTTCAGGTCGCCCTTGTCCGCCACCGACGAGGCCTTCGAGTCCCGGCCCCAGTGCATCAGGCCCGCGATCGGCCAGTCGGGGTCCTCCGGAGACTTGCCCTCCGCGATCGCGCCGTTGATGATGCTGACGATCGTCGCCTCCCACGTCAGGGAGAACACGGCCCCGCCATCAAGGAGCGTCCTGATGCTGAGGCCGTAGACATGCGTGTGGCACAAGTAGTGGTACCCGTCGTCGGGCTCCTGCACCTGCGCCCAGGCGCTGGCGGGGATCTGGTCCAGGTCCTTCAGAGCTCCTTCGGGCGAAGGCGAGCCCCTGACGACGCTCACCTGCGGGAGGTCGTAGCTCGGGCCGAAGACTCCGCCACAAGGTCGCACCCACTCGAGCTTGCCCCCCGCCGCAGCCTGCACCTTCGGCGCCGCGCCAGAGGCTGCGGGCCGCGCCGCCTCCTCGGCCGCAGGCGCTGCTCCCTGGCCGCTGCCGGGGGGCCCGCGCTGCCGAGGCTCGGCGGCGGCGCCTTAGCTGCGGCCGCGCCAGCATAGACCGCTGCAATGACCTTCTGAGCTGCCTTACCCGAGTGGCTGAACTTGCAGTCCTTCTCGCTCTTGCTGCGCGCACCCCGGAGGAACTGCAGGCAGAGCTGCGACTTGAGGCCGCCCTTGCCGCCGTCGTCCGAGCCCTTGCCCTTCTTGCCGTCCGCGCCCTTGCCCTTCGGCCCGGTCGCGTCCTTCTTGGTCCTCCGCGACTCGGCGATGGCAGCCCGGTCGTGCGAGAACCTGCAGGCGTCGCCACGGGCACACGTGCCGCTGTCCCGCATCTGGAAGCAGACCTTCACAGCTCCCTCAGCGCCGGCGCCGCCGGAGCCGCCAACAGCGCCGACCTCGGGCGGCTCCTGATCGCCGCCACCGCCGCCGCGCCGACGCCGGCCACCGCCGCCGCCCGGGCTGGGCGCGAAGTCCGAGCCCACCGCCGCGACGAGCGCCTTGGCCGAGCTCTCGGCCTCCTCCAGCTTCAGCAGCACGCGATGGGCCTCCCTCCAGGTCTCGACGCCGCGGACCTCGGGCTGGGCGCCAGAGCGCTGATACACTCGGCGATCCTTGAGCACCTCTGCCCGGTGCGCGGGAGGGATGAGCGCCAAGTAGCCGAGCAGCAAGTCACGATCGGACTTGCCCATCCCCGCCAGCTCCATCTCCGCCACGATGTTCTCGAACGTCGCCTGAAACTCCAGCGCGCTCATCTTGCCTCGGGAGAGCGTCCTCCACTCAGCGTTGAGCCGCTGCTGCTTCTCCAGCAGGCCCTCCTTGAACTCCATCAGCCTCTCCTTGAGGCTCTGGTACACCTCGTCGGGATCCGCCGCCAGCCTGCCTGACCGGCGAGCCTGCTTCAGCTCGACCTTGTAAGCCCGCTGACGCGAGCCTTTCAGGCAGGTCCCCAGCACACGCACCATCTCCGTCGCCGACATGCCCGAACCGTCGTTCGCCAGGC